AGATTTTTGGTGATGCACTGTAGAGAAATGACTGAAGCCAAAGCAAATTAGGGTTAGCGATGGATGATGAAGAGAGTTTACAGTAAAAAGAGATGAGATCTTGGCTATGAAAGGGAACAAATGAGGAGAAGAAGTGAGAAAAAAGAAAGTGAAAATGAAGTGAGAAGGAAATATGAGAGATTAAAGGCTTAAAAAATGAGTACTCCATTAGGAAATTAGGGGCAATGGTTGAAAATTTCTAAATTGGGGTGGGGGGAAAGATTTTGGCAGAGGGGAGAGGCGATAGATGAAAATTTCTAGGGAAGGGAATGAATGAAATTAGGGTTTGCGTTTTAGGGTATATATTTTATATTTTCTTGAAAAAAAACATAGGTTTTCGGGTTTATTATTCAGTTGTTCGGTTCTTGGGCTTGGAACCAAACATCGCACCGATTATAAATGGTTGGGCCCGAAACCGTATTCTTGAGCCCGAAGCCCGTTTGTACCCCCACCGCAAGCCCAATTTTGATGCGGTTGTCGGGCAACCGAGCGGTTGCCCATGTGCACGCCCAGCCCTAGTTGCAGTTGTGAGTTGTAGCATTTGGATTTTCACCCTTCTCAAGAAGATATTGAGTAGTAGGATAGTTTGTGTTGTGAGTTGCAAGGTGTAAAGGAGTCTAATTTATAAAGTGTAACTAGATAGTTAGATGTCAAATGAATGAACAAATGTAAGTAGAAAACCTTTTCCAACACTTAGAAAGAGTCCCACAAATTCATATTATTCATAATTTTGTGCACTGTTACAAACCAAATAATGAATTTCATGCCCTAGAAGACCATATAATTTCCAATCACCAAGCAAATGATTTATGTAACTTAATATTTCTTCAACAATCTCAAAGGAATTGAAACATGCCATAAGTCTTTAACCATTGCATAAGTTAGTTATACCATGTTTCTTCTCCTTCTTATCGACATCCATCTTCAGTTTATCCACGAGATACTTGCAGATGTGAAGTGATCTTGTTTTTCCTGCCGCCACATGATGAAGAGAGTTCTTGCTATTGCTATCGGCAATCATCGTTAGTGTTTCTATTAAACTTTCTTGAATGTCAAGATCAAACATCAGCACTGTTTCACCATTCTAAAGTATATCAAAGTTAAGCCTTGCATCAACCTATCCAAAAATACAAGGAGAAAATGAAGCAAAGAAGAAATTATTATTATACGCTTGAAAGTTTCCAGATCTCATTTGTTTGCCCCCTCAAGCAAGCTATTAGTATCTTTTTTTCTCAAATTTATATGCTATTCAAGATCCATTTACACCATGAAAACTCAATTTCACTAGGAAATTGAAATATCGGAAAGCAGAAGAAAATGAAAAAAATAAAAGAGAAGGAGACCTAAAGCTAGAGTTGAAGTTGGAGATGGAGATGAAGAAGACGCCATTAGAGAGCAAAGCGGTTCTCTGAATCCCTAGAATTAGTTACACAAAAAGAAAGGGAGGGAAACAAAGGAAAATCGAATATATAAGAAACGCAACAAGAAAATCAAGAGGGAACATAATACAAAATGTGGTTTTGTTTTTTGTTTCAATTTTCACTATTTGCTACTTCCAGAAGTAGTTAACGTTTGACGAGCCTGGCTAACTGGGGAAAGGGAAGAAAGAGGGAGAGAGACAAATAAAACTAAATTGCAAATGGTACAAATTTTTTGGGGATGATGTTGAACTAGGATCCGATTACTCGATTTAGAATCGAGAATGACAACTCAGTAACTTTTAAATCGACATTATAAATTATACACTACAAAATTTGATTCGATTTAAAAAAATACGACCTAACATAGCCCATCTAAAATGGGTTTAGGGACTCGATTCTATGTTCAAAGTATTGATTTGAACGAAAATCACCCAGACTCGACTTTATTAAGTCAAGGTTAAGATGGATCAACTTATAATAACCCAACTAAAATTAATTAATTTTTTTAAATTT